TTTTTTGAGACAGAGCCTCAAGCTGTCACCCTGGGTAGAGTGCTGTGGGATCACAGCTCACAGCAACCTCCAAATCCTAGGCTCAAGCGAGTTTCCTGCCTTAGCCTCCCAACTAGCTGGGACCACAGGTACCCTCCACAACGCCCGGCTATTTTTCAGTTGCAGCCGTAATTGTTGTTTGGAAGGCCCCAGCTGGATTCGAACCCGACACCTTAGGTGTATGTGGCTGGTGCCTTAGCCACTTGAGCCACAGGCACTGAACCCAATCTATGGTATTTTGTTATGGCAGCCCTGACAAAGTGATTGACTTTGCAAATCCTTTTACCCTGATTGTTGATTGAAATGCCTTTTGTCATTTTGGCCACCGTATTTGCAGGGACCACTCTTTATGAGACTGACATGAAGAAGGGTTCAAGTTAGTGGAAAATCTGGACGTAACCAGGGGCCACCATGTAATCATTACACTGGGGAGGTTGGCAGGTCTAGACCAAGCTGTATCAGCACAAGAGGCAAAATTTTAAAAAAACAATGAAAAGTAGTTTTTGACTAAGCTCTCACCTTCACTCATTCAATAAATATGTGAGTTCATTCAATAAATATGTGAGTTCTTATGTGCCAGGCATTGCCTTAGGCACTAGGAAGACAACAATGCAGGCCTGGTCTCTGCTCTTAGGGATTAAGAGTGTAATAAGTGAAACAGATACTAGTTACACAAAAGAGGTATAATATGGGTGGTTCCTGTGGCTCAAAGGAGTAGGGTGCTGGCCCCATATGCTGGAGGTAGTGGGTTCAAACCCAGCCCCGGCTAAAAAACTGCAAAAAAAAAAAAAAGGTATAATATGCAATGAAAAGTATAATGGAGTGGGGGTAAAATTTTTGGCACTTTGAGTAGGGTGTTATCTGGCTTCTCTTAGTAAATTTTAACTGCCCTACTAAATTGCATAGAGCACAACTTGTCTTTTAATTTACTTTGCTTCAATTCCTCCCAAGACCCTAGAATTTAGTGGTTGTACTCTGGGAGGTGGGTCAGAAGGCCAAGCGACACCCACAAGCTATGGCCCACAAAGTCATTTCTTCCATTCCAGAGTCCTGTACATCATTAGTATAACATACCTGACTCTGTTGCCCCCAGGGTGAATTCCTTCCCTTGGAAAATTAAAGAAGGGCCATAATTACCTTTTTACTTTGGAGTTTTTAAAGGGTAAGGCCTTACTGCATCTCACATGAGGTTCATGGGTCCTGCTGTTAACAGATTTCATCGCATGTGCCTGAACTCATGGAGGGCACTTTGGGAAGAGCAGGGATACCTGTATCTGGGAGCTTTGAGCAAAGGGGATGCAGGATCAGAAAATGAATACAGCTGGAAGTCGGGAGATGCACTGACAAATGTGCTTTTGCTATCAGTTCTCCATGTGTTTTGGGCACTTGAACCAGGCCTCCACTGTTTTTAAATGGATCAACTGGATCAACTCCCTCATATGGAAGGAGGAGACTATGTATGAAAATCCTTTAAAATGATTATAATGTATGCATTGTCAAGGCTAGGATTGATTTAGGGACAGGGTTGAGGGCTTCCTTTCTCTGAAAAAATATATCTCATCTTGCTTATGAATGCCTGAAGTTTTTTCAGCACAAGATAATATTCTATGCCACAGGCAAACCTGAGTACTTAACTTTGCTTCCAAACTGGCTCTCCCATCTGCAATCCACCAGTGATTTTTCTGCCTATTCAGTGAAGACAATACTTTTATCCTGTTATGGTCTACATATGTCTAGAGTCTTACATGAATCAGGAAGAAAAGCCTTATGACATTCATTGAGATGTCACTTTCTAGGAAGTTAACATTAGAGAAACTTACTCAGAGAAAATAACACATCAGCCTCTGATTGAAAGCACTGAGAATTTGACCGCAGAGTGGTGCTGAAATCTGACACTGGGTACGTTTTAAAGTAGCCAGCTTTACTCATCTTCAACATGTATACAAACAAAAGCAATGTGCTGGCCCGGCACAGTGGCTCATGCCTGTATTCCTAGCACCCTGAGAGGCTAAGGGTAGCAGATTGCTTGAGTATAGGAGTTTGAGACTTGCCTGAGAAGAGTAAGAACTCCCCCGTATCTACTAAAAATAGAAAAATTAGCCAGGCTCATGGTGCATGCCTGGTGGGTCTCAGCACCTGGGGAGGCTGAAGCAGGAGAAAAGCTGGAGCCCAGGAGTTTGAGATTGAGTGAACTACTGTGATACCCCTGCACTCTGCGTAGGATAATAAAGACTGTCCCAAAACCCGAAAACAATATGCTGAGGTCTGGGGGTTATGTATAACCACAAAAGAGACTAATCTCTTAGGGAACCTGATTGTAACCAGCTTGTCAAATGTCAGTCTTATACTCAAGAAGTATATTCTGTGTTAGGATTAGTATATTTTATTCTGGTGATAATTCTACCTGTTGATACTGATTTTATTTATTTATTTTGAGACAGAATCTTATTCTGTCGCCCAGGGTAGAGTGCTATGACGTCATCATAGCTCACAGCAACCTCAAATTCCTGGGCTCAAGCAATCCTCTTACCTCAGCCTTCCAAGTAGCTAGGACTATAGGTGGCAGCCACAACCTCTGGCTAATTTTTCTATTTTAAATAGAGACAAGGTTTTGCTTTTGCTTAAGCTCATCTCAAAATTCTGAACTAGGGCAGTCCATTCATCTTGGGCTCCCGGAGTGTTAGGATTATAGGTGTGAGCCACTGCACCCAGCCTGTTGATACTGGTTTTATTATAGTGAGTTTATTCAGTGGTTTGGCTGCTCTTACTATAGTGTAGGTTTCTTTTTCTTTCTTTTTTTGAGATAGAGTCTCATTTTGTCAGCCTTGGTAAAGTGCCATGGTGTCATAGCTCACAGCAACCTCAAGCTCTTGGGCTCAAGCCATTCTCTTGCCTCAACCTCCCTAGTAGCTGGGACTATAGGCACCTGCTGCAATGTTTAGCTATTTTTAGGGGTGGAGGTCTCGTTCTGGCTGGTCTCAAACCTGTAAGCTCAGGCAATCCATCTGCCTAGGTCTGCCAGAGTGCTGGGATTACAGGCATGAGTCACTGTACCCAGCCCTACAGTGTGGAGTTTATTGTTTTCCATTTAGAAAAAAATTTGCAAGAGATACTATAACTTTAAAAACCAAGGTGAAGAACCAAGGTATACATATGTTTAAAAACATTTATAGTTATTCTGATTCACAAGAAACTTGTGATGACCTCTGGGAAAACAGAGGTTGTAGGACGTTAACTTACTCTGAATCTCAGGTATTTTGTTATGCTGGATTTTTTTTTTTTTTTGAGACAGAGTTTTATTATGTCACCCTTGGCAGAGTGCCATGGCATCACAGCTCACAGCAACCTCAAACTCTTGGGCTTAAGTAATTCTCTTGCCTCAGCCTTCCAA